TATATATATATATGATAAGGTCTTTCTTTGGGCTCTTCTGTAACCTCAACCTAGCGACAATGACAACCGGCCTTTAGGATCACTGGTATAAAGCACCGTGGGATTAACTTTGTTAGGATGTAGTATCTTGAGTTCCAACAAAATCCAAATGTACATTTATAAACTCAGAAGTGATTGGGGTGAACCTTTGTTTCCTCTATAGGGTAAAAAAAAAAACTGTGACATTGACACCTTGAAGCACATAGTCCAGTGCACACTTTAGGTCTGCGATTTTATCTAAATTTCTGTAAATTCATTAAAATTTGACCACAGGACTTGCTTGGATGAGCACAGACAACAAACTGAGGGGTAATAAATGAGACGTTCATATGTAATATAGTGTGCCCTTGTCTTATTTTGTTTTATACTTGCACTTAGAGGAAAATAACATTAAATTGCAATACAGCATTTGAAAAAAATGTGCGAACATATTGTATATTTTAGGTGATTTTTTTCCCTTATATATTCGCGTAGGAAACTGTTGCTCCAGCTGTCATGCATTACTGCAGACTGCTTGCTGCAGTATTTTTACGATGACATCATCCCTTCATCTCTTTTGAGGGAATGCCGCGTGGTTGTTTGCTGTGCATTTAACGAAAATACAAATTAAAAAAACTGAGTCTTTTGTCACGAGCTAAACCCGGCGGGGAAAAAAAAACTATATATATTTAAGCTCCCGATATCTCTGTCATATTCCAGTCTGTTATGCATCCATCCAGCCTTTTAACAGTTGGAATAAGAGACGTAGAATCTGATTGGTCAGTTTCTAGTGTATCCCTTGGCAATGACCAATCAGCTTAGTTGGCAGATTCAGGTGGTAAATCCTGATCCTGCCTCTGACTGTACGGCACAGAGCCCTCTGCTCTCCCCTGTAGTGTATTTTCAACCCAGCTTCGGTTGCTTTCCCCCCTCCCCTTGCGCCGCCGCCATTAGAGCCCCGTCAGTCTGGTGTTTAGGGATCGGAGAAAAGGATTAAAATGATTTGAAGCGTCCGAAACAACGGCCGAGGGACGGGACTTTGGGGAGGGGGGGCTTTCTTGCTCCACAGTGCCAGTTTTGACGGCGCCCTCCAAAAAGTAAATATGCGGCTGGTGTCCAAGTGAGAGAAACCCGAGTTCGGACTGGCGAGGGTTTCTCCGACCGGAGGGGGGAAGGTCCATTTGTTTTGGCTGCAGCGGGGGACTGGAGTATAGCACAGCTAAGCAGAGGTGAGGGTTACTTTACAGTTTTGTGGGTTATGGTAAACTAAGGCCTCCCAGGCGTTTTACCGGACAAACATAATCCCGTAATGTTAGCGGGCAGCCTGCTAGCTTGGCTGTAATTTATGTTGGACTGAGCCGTCATGTAAATCAGCCACCAGCTAGCTCCCTGCGTCTGTTTTCACGGGAGCTAGTTTTTTTAGTTTACTATTGTTTGTTGGAAATGACAACGATGGACCGCCCATTTGTGTTAAAATCAATTTGTTGTATTATATACCTTAATCGAGGAGAATGTGTTAGTCAGCGCATCTGGAGCGTCTCTGGTTKTGTTAGCTTTTCACAAAAGCTCTGATGAGATCACAAATCTAAAATTTAACACGGCTGTGTTTGTAAACCTAGAGGCGTGGTGTAAACACCATAAATGTTACTACCCTCTGAGCTGTGTGTGAGCTAACTTTCTCTTCTTACAGCTTGCCTCTCATAAGAAATAGGATAGTTCAATAAAACATGTGGTTTGGATCACACAGTTTTATGCATGTAATAATAGGCTTTGGGACGAAATCAGATTAGGGTTATGGCTGGATTACTGAACTGTCCAGCAAGGCTCATGCCAAGGGACCCTAACGAGTCTGGGGGGTGGCTTACTTTCCCCTGAATGTCACACAGTTGAACAGAAAAACAAACAAACAAACAAACAAACAAAACAAAGCATTTTAAATAGGTAACACAACAACAGTAAGCATTAAACAATTGCGAGAGGCAATAAAACTGCAGAAAAATTATCTTTGAACATAATAAATAAAGACAAAAATGGTCACGCAGAGAATTGACAAACAAGACTGTAATAGTGATGCAACACAACAACATGACACCTTTGCACAGGTTTGAAAGTGAAATTTAGGGATGTAACATTGCTTCAAAGAGACATTTAGCTTTTTTTTAACTTGTCCATTTGGCTCCTCTATAGTAAAGTGGGTGGGAGCTATGTACATGTCTGTGCCTGGGTGCCATTCTCTCATAATCCATCCATAATTTCAGTGCTTCGGTAAGTGTTTTAACCAGTCATGCGCTTCCCTGCTGAGGGTCAGGTTTCATCCGTCCTTGTCTCTCATTACCCAGCTCAGTTGTAGGGCACAGTTGCCTTGCGTTTGCATGTAACTTACTGTATGTGTTTAAAGTTAGTGTCCGGGGGTAATGGAAACCAGTACAGTTTCACCCCTGCTCTTTCTCAGTCGCTTTGCTGCGAGTTTGCGTCAAGTCATCAACAAACAGTGCTGATGATTTTTATTGTTGTGCTCTAGGCTTTATTAAAACAGGGTTTATCCCAGTTTATTATTGGAATGGATTAAAATTTGTATTTGAAAAAAAAGTATTTTTTATGTATTAAATATAAGGAAAATGTCAAATAATAGTTTCTGTATGAAAGTAATTGCTTAAATGTGCAACTTTTCTTTCCTCATTCCCTTAGTTTCCTGCTTGCTGTGTAATCTCCTCGAGAGTGGGTCTGCCGAGCTGACAGTCCCCCTGAACGGCTGGAAGCCCCCTTTAGTGGCAGCGCGACGATGACAGAGCTGGTTGCCAAGTGGGCTTGTGAATACTGCACATACGAGAACTGGCCGTCAGCCATCAAGTGCACCATGTGCCGCGCTCAAAGGCCCAGCAGGGGTGCCATCATTACTGAGGAGCCCTTTAAGAGTAGCCCTGCCCTGGATGCCAGTTTGCATCAGTGGGACCCTGCAGGCCTCAGCAACAGTCCATCTCAGGGGGGATCAAGCCTACTTATTTGTCCAGACTCTAGTGCCCGACCACGTGTTCGCGTTGCTGATGCACCTGAGACCCCTAGCAAGTGGTCGTGTCACATGTGTACCTACCTGAACTGGCCTCGCGCCATCCGTTGTACCCAGTGCTTGTGCCAGAGGCAGCAGTCTCAACAACAGCAGCACGGGCAGCAGCATGCAACCCATCAGGGTCACCGTACCCAGCAACCCCATAGCCCCACGGAATCACCCCAGACTTCAGGCTCTGGCTGTCGCCCCATTCCCCCGATCAACACTACGGACMCTTGTGAGGAATACAATGACCGCAACAGACTCAACACTAACGCACAGCACTGGACCTGCACGGCCTGTACTTATGAGAACTGGGCTAAGACACTCAAATGTGTTGTGTGTGATCATCCCAGACCCAACAGTCTTCTTGCTGAATCCATCGAGCTGGCGTCAGAACCCGAGAGCCAACGGGCATCCTCGACATTAAACGAGAAGGACAAGGACAACAGGAGGAGTGTTGTTGGGCAAGGAGTTGGGGTTGTGGTAGGGGGAGTGGTGGGCTGTAGCAGCAGCCAGAGGAGATCACCTCCRTCTGAAAAGCGAGAGACTGAAGTGAACATGGACTTTCAGAGGATTGAACTAGCATCTGGAGCTGGGATTGGGAGTAAAGAGGAGCTTGAGGTGGATTTTAAAAAATTGAAGCAGATTAAGAACAGGATGAGAAGGACAGATTGGCTTTTCCTCAATGCATGCGTTGGTAAGTATTGAGCATGTTTGGCACTTGCCTTTACATATTAAACTTATTCTCATATTGTAATTGACATAAGGGGGCAAAATAAAAAACAGCTTACAGTCCTTTATGTAATATGCATCCTATCACTGCTGAAGGACTTTATTCCTCTGCCTTGAGCCAGTAAAAAGTTCCCCACGCCAACAGTTATCCACCCACACTGTACACTGACAAAAGCTGTAGGAGAGATGGAGGAAGAAGGTTTAAAAAGTTTAAAATCTCGTAACTTTTCTCTCTCTGTCTTATCATTGTTTAAGACCGCCTCTTGCATTTGCTATAAAGCTGTAAAGTAAGATAAATCTCCAGTACCTTTTCTGCCATCTGTCTTCTTGACAGTTATTCTGAATTATCTGGATAAGACACATTTATCAGACAAAAATGAATATGATAGCCAGGTGCTTTTTTTTTGTATGCTATGTTTTTGCGTGCTTAGTTTGCTTCTTTTTTTGGACACAACACCTGTCGTCCCCTACGTTTGTTAAATATGAGAAGGTGTCCTGATGCATCTCAGTAATCCAGGTAAAAAATCAAAAAGAAAAARATTGTATAGGCCTTCTGGACGGGTTCTTCTCTAATGAAACGTTTCGTCTCTCCTCCAAGAGACTTCTTCAGTCTGAGAGTTTCAGGCAAAATTCAGGCTTTTAAGCACTGCCTCCATGGGACTGATACTCACATCACATGGCTATCGTTGACACCTAACTAACACCTATTGTTAACAGGGGGTGGAGTGATTCTGGCAATAGCAGCACTGTAGGAGGGGGACAACTGAAAACGGAGGCCTCTACCTCTGTTTAATGATGGACGGTCTTTCTTCACAGAAATGGCTTCTTTTACTCCTCTCAAACCAACGTTCCTCTCTATCAAGAATGAGAACATCCTCATCTCTGAAAKAGTGACCGCTGGCCTGTAAATGAGTGAAAACTGCAGAGTTCTGGCCATTAGACGAGCTACATCTAATGGCCAGAACTCTGCAGTTTTCACTCATTTACAGGCCAGCGGTCACTCTTTCAGAGATGAGGATGTTCTCATTCTTGATAGAGAGGAACGTTGGTTTGAGAGGAGTAAAAGAAGCCATTTCTGTGAAGAAAGACCGTCCATCATTAAACAGAGGTGGAGGCCTCCGTTTTCAGTTGTCCCCCTCCTACAGTGCTGCTATTGCCAGTATCACTCCACCCACTGTTAACAGTAGGTGTTAATTAGGTGTCAACTATAGCCATGTGATGYGAGTATCAGTCCCATGGAGGCAGTGCTTAAAAGCCTGAATTTTGCCTGAAACTCTMAGACTGAAGAAGTCTCTTGGAGGAGAGACAAAACGTTTCATTAGAGAAGAACCCGTCCAGAAGACCTATACAATTTTTTTCTTTTTGATGAGAAGGTGTCCTTTTTATTTAACATATTCAAATGTTAACTCTTCTGTTCACCTAAAAGAAAATGTCCCTAGTTAGATTATTCATTGCATACTGAAGGAAATAAATCCCAAATTCAAAGTAACACAGTCCAACAGCAAGTTCTTTTTTTATCCATCAGTGCACTCTTTGACTGGTAGTTATTTGGAAATAAATTCATGGGAAAGAAAGTCCACCCTTTGTTTAATTCTAGGGTTTTATGTAGCAGGACAAAAACAGGATCCAGTCCTTATCAGGTTCTAAATTTATTTAAGCCTAATCTCAAGTGTGTAAAACACACAGCACATCCCATCATGGCACTATTTATTTAAAAAAGTCATAGTAGAAAAGTTGTGGATGAAAAACTGTCCATGTGTCAGTTGCGTATATAGGCACCTTTAGCAATAGTAACTTGAAGTAGTTGTATTTTGTATGACTTTCTCACATCATTGTGGAATTTTGACCCACTCTTCTTCTAAACTTCTCTAGAATATTTTAGTACAGAGAAGTTCAATGACTGCAAGTTACCCAGGTCCTGTGGCTGGAAAAACAAGCCCTTGACATTTGACATGAGGTTTTTGTGCTGATATAACTGCTTTTGATTTTTTTTCCCCGGTAGTGTCACTGTGCATTGTGGTCTAACATCTCTGCTTAGTCCAAAGAACATTGATCTAGAAGTGTTGTGGTTCAGTCAGATGAAGCTTTGAAAACASAAGTCGTGCTGCCATACGCTGCATTATTTAGAGAGGAGAGACTTTTTCCTGTAACCCTTTCAAATAAGCCATACTTGTTCAGAATTTGTTTACTGGGCTATAGCTGATAAATGTATTAATCATCAATATTTGCCTGTTATGACTTTTGTTTATTCTATAGACAAGGCAAAACTACACACCTAGTGTTCACCAGAGAACAAATAGATTTGTAAATTAGCGATTAAACTTATACGTGCTTTAGAAAGTGAGCTTACCTTTTCTTCAATCTGTCTAGTATAACATAGCCACCCTGTTTGCATGAACTTCACAAAGTTGCTGCAGGTGTTTATTTTTTTTTCCCCACACAGAAAGCTAATTGAATATAACAACAAAAACAAAACACAGACAGATTTACTGGGTAACAATAATTAATTTATTCAGGTTTTTGTTCAAATCCTAAAACCATCCTTTGATAAATGTCAACCACTGCACAGCCGAAGTGTTTGGGGAGTGTTGGCATAAACACACTACACAATAGGCACTAGAATTCACAGAACAGAATTCTGTTTGACGATTGAATGACCTACCTACACCCTCACACCCATGCACATAGAAAAACACTCTGACTGAGCTGCTGCACTAAAATGTCATACAGGTCAAACC